TGCAGGTTGGGGGGTGGGGGCGCCGTAGCCGCCCGTCGGGGCGGCGGGGGAGCCGTAGCCGCCGGAGCCGTAGCCGTAACTGCCCAAAGCAGCAGCTGCGCTGCTGCCGGTCTGCATGGCCAGCAGCAGCGCCACTGCTGCCGCCAGGGCGGCCCCTGATCGGGCCGTCCTCATTTTAGTGGGTTGGTTTTTGCAAATTGTGTAGCCCTGTGGGGATTGATTGAAGTGGCAAGGCCACACGCGCGCGTGTCGGGAATGCCAGTACAGCTGCGACTGGCTGGGGGTGGGCAACATCCAGCTGTGGCGACAACGACGCCAGCTGCGGCCCCCCTCCGTCGCTGGAAAGGTTCAGTTGCCTGATCAAAACCGTAGGCACCGTGGCACTCTGGCGCCTCACCGTGAACGGGCTGACAGACCAGCGCGCGGTCAAAAACAGCAGGCCGGCCCGGATGCTCTGACAGGTACCTTGCCGTATGTAGCCCGAATGATGCAAAGCTGTTGGATTATGAGAGGCGCGGGTGGAGCTACTGGTGGATTCGGGTAATGCTGACTTTGATGATCAACCTGGCTTTCGGCAGGGCTCGCTCTAGGGCCTGAGTATGTGAAGGATTTGTAAGACATACACCAGGCGCGAGACTGTTTGAGGCACCTTGGTCTTATACTTTCATTCTCGAGGGACATCGCCCACGGTGCCCTCAGCACTTCACTTGGTGCTGAACCCAGCACAAGGCGCAAGCTGTCGTGTGTCGCTCCCTCTTTCAAGTGCAAAGCCTGGAGCTTGAAGCTTCCAAGGTGAGACTCTGGCCATGCGTGCCTCTGGGCTGGCCGGCGGGCATTCACTGCAGAAGAGCACCCTCGGGACAGCGCAGCACATCAGGGGCTGATTGAATATGTAAAGAATGCATTTGACAGCTGCAAGTGATCAGAGGCAGCAGACGACGAGGGCCGGCAGTGCGTGTAGAGTGCAGCGGGACGGCGTGGAGCAGGAGCAGCCGCGGTGGCAGCGTGAGTTCGCGGTTGAGCATGTCAGAAACTTTGTTGTTTTTGGTCAGGTTGGTGCAGTGGCTACATCAGCTGCAGTGCACCGCGCGTGCCACGATCTGCAGTGCTGCACAGCGGGACAGCATCAGCAATTGCGTCAGGGGCGAGGAGTTGCGAGAGTCAGCACTGCCGTATACGCCGCGGCGCCCGTGGTCGCCTGCAGACATACTGCAGCGCACCGCCGCTGCGCAACGGCGGCCGTTGTGCTTGTCGGCCTGCCTAGGCCCTTGACGACCAAGCAGTGCAGCTGGATAGTTGTTGACGTAAAGCGCAAGGAGCAGTGCTGCCTGATCACCCCAGCAGGCTGTGGGCCAGCAGCAGCCGTGTAGACCCGGCGCCGTGTCCGTTGCCACTGGCGTGGCACGCAAATCTGTTGCGGCAATGCTGGGGCAGGCAGGGCACTGATAGCAGCCAGCACGGTGATGGCGGCCATGCTGCGGCTGCCAAGCGCCCCACGCTGGGTAGCGTCGGCAGCAGCTGCCTTCGGCAGCGACAGGCATCAAAGCAGGAACAGCAGTCAGCGCTCAGCAGCAGGCGGCGTGCTTGTGACAGCGTGGCAGCCCGCGCTGGTTGCAGCCTGCCAAGCAGCTACTCAAGAGAGTACAGCATTTGCCCATATCTATATGTCCCTTGTCGTGCACACCCCAACGCCGCCCTCCACCGCACCCGCGCAGGCAGCAAAGCTTGACCTCGGACGACGTCAAAGCATCGCGGCGGCGCGCGCATATCCAGTGGCAGCGGCAAGCAGCCTCTGTGAGCCATGAAGCTCAACATCGCGTACCCCGCCACGGGGTGCCAGAAGAAGATCGAAATCGATGACGAGCAGAAGCTGCGCGCCTTCTACGACAAGCGCGTCAGCGCCGAGGTGGAGGGTGACGTGCTGGGCGACGAGTTCAAGGGGTGAGCGGCGGGGGCCCAGGGACACGCAGAGGCCGCAGCTGGGCGGGAGCGGAGGCGCAGGGGCAGCGGCTGCAGGCCGGCCGCTGGCAGCTGGGCGAGGCACAGCGGTGGTGGCAGCAAGCGCCGACTCTGTTGCGGCTGCTGGCAATGTCCCGCTCGTAGTGTGCATCACAGCAACGCCATCGCTGCTGCAACACGCAGCATCAGACCACATGCAGCACGTGGCGGTGTGCTCCCTGGCAGCTTGCAGCTGGCCGCGCCCTCGCCGCAAGCAGCTGCGCCCCCCAAAACGACCTCGCGCTGTGCGCACCTGACCCCCCCCCCCCC